CAACTGTCTGCCAGCGGCCCCTCAACGTCTACATCTGCTGAGAAGCATACAAATGTGACAAACAATTACCATAACTGCAACTTTAATATTCCATTAATAAATGAGTTTGTTGTTAAATATTATGATATATACTAATTACTTATTTCTTAATGTCGTATTTCATTCGAGAAATAATCTCGCTAAATACCACTCGAGCTTTAAAATTGACCATATAATTTCTCACTCTGGCATGTTTTCCTTGCAAATTTCATTATTAATTATGGAAAACATGCAATCATAAAAAATTTGAATAGCAATTGACTTACGTCTCGGCAGGTAGAACATCCCAATTGGTCACATGAAGCGAGGGTAGCAATTCCAGCATGAAAAACACAGTGCTGGTTCTGCAGTGAAGCGCCTGCAGTCCGGGACCTCCACTGTACCTGAAGATCCAAAAGCAAAATCAAACACGTTGAAGATTTATTAACACTCGCCTGATCTTCAGCTGTGCTTCCACCGATGAACAGGACGTTGGCTGTTGGAACAGCGAGGTCAAGCCAGCAGCCAAACTGGATTGGCCAGAGTTCGAGGAGCGAAAGCTGCAATAACACGCCCAATTAATCGGTTTTTCTCGCTTTGCAGACCTGAGTGGCTACCTGGAATTGATGCGGGAAAAGGAAGAAGTGCCCTGGATAGTTGATAGGCTGTTGAACATCCCGCTGTTGAACTCCTGGCCAGTGCTGGGGGAAACGGCGCAATTGGGGGCCAGAAAATTGGCAGCCCCAAACAATCTGAAAGGGGGGCATTGATTAAAACAGGTCGATTGGTTCAATCGAGGCCTTTTGAAGCTACTGACTTGACTGGAAAGGAGGCAGTCTGCTCAGGCAAGAGCGGCAGCATGGAGCTGATGGCCTCTTGGTCGATGTGGAATATTTCGCTTTGCAGCGACGGATCCAAAGCCCCATTGATAGTAACTTCCAACATCTCAATGGGGATTTGGCTGGGGTTGGTCAGGGTGATGGTGCAAATCGCGCTTTCCCCATGATATAAACTCAGGCTGGCCGACGTTACAATGCTGTCGTCGTGGAAGTTGGAGAATGAGGCGCTCGGAGGCAAGGAAGTGGCCACCTAAAGGCAAAGTCTTAAAAATCTACAATTGAGCAGAGCGGGGCATTTTCACCTGAAGCACTGGCAGGCTGGGAATGACATCAATTTTAAAGTGCGGCGGGAAGTTGTTGGTCATGTATTTGAGCCTGCAGTTGGACTTCACTCCCAATGCATGCGTGCTGTAGCCTAAAGTGGAAGAGTCAAAACAGCTGGATGATTGTTCATGTTTTCTTGCCTGCTATTTCCAGTTCTCCACTCTCTCTGGCCCAGCCGGTTAAGGAGAGGGACGTGGCCATTTCAGGAGCCAAAGTCAGCGTTTCGGGAACAGACTCAAAAACAATCCCCGACGTCAACAAGCGCATATCAGAAACTTTCAGCTCGAACGGCAGCGGGTTGAGCAGTTTCACCGATATTTCGCATGCCTCGTTTTCCACCCAGAGGAAGTCTGCAACAGTTGAAAAGTCCCAACGGAACGCTCGACTCCCCGGAAATTCCCTACCCATTTTGGGATCGCCCTTATTCTTGTTTCGATCCAGACTCCCGAAGTGGATCGGCGTGAACAAGAACGGCCCCATATCCTCTTTTTCCTGCTCTATCAGGCGGGGCCTGAGAAAGGGTTTCAGGTCCTTCAAAACGAACCCAATGCAGATGGGAATATCGGTCAAATTCGCCGGGGGCACCACAATGCCCGTCTCTAGCACCAAAGGCACGGGGGAGCCTTCGCATTGGACCGATAAACTTTGCAGCTGGATCGCTAACTCTTTTTGTTCAACGGCACTTAGATGGGGCCACATGGTTTGCAGCAGAAAAGTCATATGCCGGGTCGCCAACGCGCTAAAACTAGCGCGTTTTGCTGCTACAATTAGGTCCTGAAACACACATAAAACAGCCCAGATAGCATTTGATATTCTATGAACATCCCGGAATGTTCAAAAAATATACAAAACATTGCGGGAATATCCTGGGAATATACATAGGTGAACATTCCTAACATGAATGTTCGTGGAGTATACATGCATGTATATTCATCAAAGTTCATAAAAAGTATATCCTAGG